GTGGTGTAGGTGCTGGTGAGGAGATATGAGGTGGCGTGATATGGTCAGCCGTGTTCTACCACAGATTTTCATGGAAGCCCATGTGGCCGAATAGGCCTTTGCGCTAACTAATAATGCATGAGCAGTTAAGGCGGTTGTAGGTTGAGGCTCCTGAAGCAGGTTCGTCAGTCTCTGTCTGGTGCGTTCGCAAGTGATGAACCAGACCATCGCGTGATGTGTATGTGCTGCGGCAATATGGACAGGATATGTTGGGAGTTGCTGGTGAGTTGCTGACGGTTTTGAAGGTGAAGTTGATGATGCTGGAGATGGGGCAGTTGTAGAGCGTCCAGGGTGCGCTTCGGCTGCCGCTCTGCAATGAATTTCCCTGTCGTGGATACCCAAGTGACTGAAAAGACCCATGCAACTAGTGAATAGGCGTGTGGGCAGTGCGGAGAGTGAAAACGGACGCAGAGAGTGTATGTGAGGAATCCAGTCCCGTCCTGCGCCAGCTCCGGTGCGATAGATTCACAAGTGACCGACCAGGCCGATGCGTGGGATGAATGTACGATTGCAATGAGGACAGGTTGGGATCGATTCCATTCTGCTAGCGGTGGGGGCGAGGGTAGTGGTTGATGAGGCGTCAGAATTGCTCCCATTTGTGGCAGTAGTGAGAGAGATGTTAGTCGTCCTCGTCATCGTTGCAGGGTTTGTGGCAGGGATTTAGAGGTTAAGGACATCGGCAGTGAGGCACTTTGAGGGTCAACACTAGTGGTGGTCGCCGTGGGGTGACGATGGGGACATTTGCAGAGGCAACATGTGGAGCTCGCAGTTTGTTGTTGCATTGGGTTCAGAGGTATCCTAAGGGACCGATTTGTGCGTGGAATGATCTTTGACAGCGTGGAAATTTTAAAGGGCGTTGGGTGTTGGTGTTGCAGGTCACTAGGCACCCATTCCTCAGGTAATGAAACACACACCAGGTAAATAAGACTTGAGCTTGTCCCACAGACATATTCAAACAACTGCCTCCACTTGTCTACCTCGCTCTCTAGGGCATGGTTTAACACCGTCAACACTAACCCTGATCGCGTTAGTGGCCACTACTGCCTGTGACCGCAGCCCGGAGTTCTGTACGCAATAACTCCCTTATTCTGGTGCCGTCTGTCTTCTCCCTTTAATATGAACTTCATTTGGCTATTGTGAAGCTCTGAGTTCACCCACTGCTTAGACGCCACCGTTTTACTGACATGACGAGTTTATATTTTCGAAAAGCAAAAGAAATCAACAGTTCCACCAGCTTACCCTTCCTGTGTGCCAACTTCGGCCAGGAATTGAGTTGAGAAATCGCATCGCCACCCGGGTAGTTGTAAGCGGAACAGAATAAGAGCCCCAGGGTTAAGAACACGTTGACAAAGAGATGGAGGTAACAGAGTAGGACAATCAGCCTTCTGACATAATAGGACATTCGACCACCCTGCTTCATACCGCTGCGAGAGACCGGTTTAAACCTTTTTCTAGCATGATGTTCGGTGATGCTGGCTTCCCTAAAAGTAATATACAAGACATCGTTATACTCATTAAGTCACCTTTGTAGTTTCGGCATAATAAAAATGTTGAATGACAAAACTCCGAGTTTTTCAGCATTCAGGCGTGATAGGAGAAATTTATTTTACCTACGTTAACTCAACCCGAGAAGGTACATATGTCAGTCAAAAAATGAAAGACACTCTTCGCTAACGTATACAAAGTCCAAGTCGTTACGTGTGGTACCTGCTGTATTACTTGGGGACGAGAGCACCAAGTCTGAAAGAACTCTGTCTGTCAATAAATGTCTGATATGTGAGAAATGTTTTGCTTTGTGACCTGTCAAGCGAATGAAGTTTGAGAAGCCGAGGACTATGTTACGGAGAAAGCTAGCTCTTTGACGCCAATGTGTTCTATATCCTAATTCCAGTATTAATAAAAGTCAAATATTTTCTTGCCAAAGGAGATTGCTGGAACCATAGGCAAGGGTATGATATATAACTTCCTTCCGAAAACAATAACTGATGGATATCTACGATACAACATAAAAATAATCAAGTTTACGTCAAAAATATTTTTCTACGGAATTCGGCGCAGGTTGGTAAGTTCACCAAAACCTTACCTGACTACCTTGTTTAACTGAGCCTCAAGCATAAGAAGTTGAACAGGGTCCTAAATCCAGCCAACATGACTGAAGCGTACAGCATATGACGATCAACATTTGATGTCAACTTCAGAGAATCATAAAAACGCCTTGAACTGTAAGGAAAGCTTTTATGTACGCACTTTCCGGCAGAAAGCATACACTGTGGCAGCACAGGAAATGTAAGAAGGGACTTTTGTGCCTCACACATACAACGCGAAGCGATATACAATGGAGTTCCTGAATGTCAATACCTATCACTAATTGCATTATCCAAACTATCAATATAGAATATAGTAGTTGGTGCATATCATTAAATGCTAAAATAAATTCTGTGATATTTTTATTGGAAATAGTAGATGGTATATTGAGCAGCATCATCTCGCGAAAATTCAGTCACAAGCGGATGCTGGTTATTAAATGGGCTCCTATCCGGCCTCCTACTAAAACTACACTCTTTAAAATTTATAAAAAAAGAAAGAATATCTCTCGAGTTAGAAACGTCTGTAATTACCTACAATGTTAACTCAGATAGCCTGGGACTTGCAGTTTTATTAGTACTTCTTAGGGCATATACAACCTGGAGCGCAGTCAATATAGAATTTAATAAATAAAGCATTGCATTTTTTTAACAGCGTAGAAAAAATGTATGACTATCATTATACGAACGGTGAACAGCATGTAGTCCAAGAGCCCTAAGCGCATATGCGACTGCAGGTTGTGTTTCAAATTACTCGGAACTTTTAAAAATGTTTTCAAACTCTACATATTTTTCTCATTTCAAACATAGATTTTAAAGAAGAACTTATTTTCTACCAAATGAGTGCAAGTAAGAAACTGTTGTGCGTGTTTTTTATAAAGTGTATTTTTTTATTTATATCACCATCGATAATCGATGGGTAAATTCATGCTACCTAAGTATTCATTTCTTGTGGAATGAAATTTTTGCAGGCGACCTGGAAGAATCCCATTAAACATCCGGCATCCCATCAGGATTTATATATTTTTGGGTTATGCTGCAAGATATTCAGTAGTACAGCCCACCTAGATTATCTCTTCTAATCAAAAACACATTTGGAAAATTAAATTAACGTTTCATGAGATGAACCAGCAACCAAATGCATTTCGCCACGTTATTTTGGGTCTGAGCCCTGTCTACAGTGAATCCCGTTCCAAAACTTGTCGCGACATAGCGCAGGACATTTTAACACTGCTGATGAGAGGAAAGCACCGAACAGGAGAAAGAAATAGGCATTAACTAATGCACTTTAAAGGCTATTTTATGTCATATTTTTTTAACTATTACCAATTGCTAAATATTTCAAATGAAGCGTTTCAATATGATGAGATCTGCTAAGAAAAGAGACTATATAGAATACACGGACCCTTTGGCCTTTGGAAGGGGATAATAATGCACTCAAGCAGTGTGCCTTGAACCTTTCTGACTATCTAGGGCCCATCAGAGTTTTAACGCGAACTCGAGGTGCCTTTCTGCGAGTTCCTTAATTAGTTTCGAGGTAGTCACCGTCCGAGTTGTCGCCCTAAAGGCCAAGGTGACGGGTATACAGAAATAAGGCATAGTATCAATATTTTTCGACAGTCTGTTGCGCATTATTTCCGGCCTTAAGACTGCTTGCATTGCCGTATTCCGTGCAAAACCCGACGGGGCTAGTTGCACCACGGTCACTGAAGTCGATTCCCATAAACTTCTGTGCTTAATACCGTTTTGTTTGCTAATTAATCTTTGAGTAAGCTAACAGAGGCGGTAGACAAAATAGCACGTGGGAGAAATAGAAAGTGCCTTCTAGTGGAGTTCGCCGCCGAAGGCAAATGAATGACGATCTACAAAAAATAAACATGACGGCTAGCTACGTTAGGACGCTTTTAGTAGGTCACAAAAGTGACCCAAGCATAACCAGCAACGACCACTAGATAAGAGAGTCCATGGTGCGGACAGAGGGGAGAAGATTTAAAAGGCAAGGTGGAAAAAATAGTCAATTTTGCGGTTGAGTGGAAGAAAATAATGACGCTCACCTCCTGTTTTAGCTTCTATGGACATAAACTCCGTTAAGCAGTTTCTCACCTAGAAAGTGAGTGCCAAAACGTAAACGTACGCAGGGCCAACTAAATTAAACCTGACAGCAGTTGTTTGAATTAAAAATGGACAACTAACTAGCAATCGGTAGTAGATAGTCTTAACTCCTCAAAACGCCCATTTGGGAATAACTCACATGCTTTCCCAGCAGAAGGCCGCCATGAAGTTCAATATTGGGACAGCGTAGAGAACAAAACGTAACTCTTTGTGCGGAAGGAATGAATATATCAGAACAAAGCTGACGGCAGCAAATTCTAGACCCAAAAGCAGGCTTGTTGCGTGTCGCATCCGGGCGCGTCGGTCGCAAAGGATCAGCAAATTTGCCAATATAACAAGGAATGTTGTACACAACAGAGCCTTGGGAAGACCGATCACAAAATACCAGTAGAAAGGGAGTGTCTAAAAGTAGGTGTTAAGGAAATGATAAAAAGCCATTGCTCGAGTTCAGTCATTAAAACAGGTCGTCAAAGAGCCTCACTTTCAAGCGCCCTTAGACACTGACGATTTTCGCCGTAAAAACTTGGCTCACTGGTAGTGATGACGCTGACGACAACTGACTTTAACTTAAACATCACGTCTATCTGGACAACAACTGAGCATTTCAGTTTCCCTTCGATTTCTGACAAGCCTCCTTAGAAGAGGTTGTCAAGTTAGTATACGGAGGGAACGGGAGACTGAATAACAGATATTCAGCCGATGCCCAGAGTGGTCTATTACAGTTACCAGCATCACAATTCACCGCTGACTAAGCATACTTCGTACATACGAGGCCTTACAATATCGCCTGGAAATTGGTGATTTAAAAAGAAATTATCAAAACGGGAGCTTCCGGAAAAAATAGATAATATAGCCCCTTGTTGAAAAGGGAAATGGAACAGCAAGGATGTCAGAAGAGAGTCCATTAGCTTTTCTGTATTGGTGGCAGAAAAATTTGCAATTTTTTAAACTTATGTGGGGACAGCTGCGTAACACAGTCAAAATGAATATGCCTAGAAGCAGAAAACCCCACGTATACCATGGTGAAGCAGCACGTTTTGGGTCTATCCGGTTGTTTATTACACTGAACACCGTTAGAAATTCAAGGATTGATAAATAGTACAATTTTGAGAAGCGTTACATGCAAAGACAAATGAAAAACCACTGTGGCTAACTTGACAGCGTCAGCCAACTCATTCCTAACCCGAAAAGGCCTAAAGTTGGAATCAACGCTTGCTGGCCGTCAGGAATTCGAACAAAAAGTCTGCCAACTGAGCTATGGACATATACCTGACCGGCAAAGTTTTCAAATTCCAGACATGCGGCGTGGTAGTTTTTATGATCTTGTTACAGGACACAATAACACCTCTTTTATTTTTCTTCTACAGGCAAATTACTACGCTCACAAGCGATCATAGAACGAGAAGTAACCAACGATTGAGAAGCGCTACCAGAAAAGGCAAACGGGTGAATGAAATGTCCGTTTACAGCTTATTTGGCGTCATTAGCCAGTCAAGTCCAACCGCCAGGCCCGGAAGAAGTTTCGATAGTATTAAAACGAAAGAATAGGTCTCTGATTTTTAAATGCGAATAAAAAGTTGGGTCCTCATTAAAGGCAACATGGTCTAACTTATGGAGAACCCTTCACTACTAAGGGGAAACCATCTAGATCTTGGCAAGGCAAACAAGACGAGAAAAGGATACACCCCATTGGCTACTTTTATTCTCAATCGCGTTGAAGTAGAAAACTTCACCCTCCGGCCAAAGCCAACGACGCCAAAAGAATGAGTCCACAAACACAGAAGTGCCTACAAAAAAGCATAGAAAAAAAACGTGATATATATGAATTTAAACTCAGTATTGACAATCTAAATAGCAAAGTTCAACGATCCAAACCAACAGCGGGAATATAGGGTGATTATTAATTTCTTAAACGTAAGAAAACGCTGATTATACATAACATGCCCCTCAACACAAAGAATATACGAGCACCTGAACACAAATTGTATTAACCTGAGGTTACGTGCTTATACACCTGTTGATATTAGGAGACCACGAGAACATTATTGGGGGGATCTCAACGCAGTGACCGTGCGCACCCTTGGCTGCGAATTGGGCTACACCGTTTAGCCGCGTGAATGTAACGTGTGATAGCAAGACAGTAAATCTACGCGCCTGTGTAGTGTATTGGTGGCAGAGGCCTAGGTATTCGGCAATTGTCACCCTGTCTCGTTGTCAGCCCACGCCATTACCTGCCTATCCACAGCCGACTGTTTGGCCTCTCCGTAAATGATGGGTAGTGACCTGCAACTACGAGTATTCTCTCCAAATCACCAATTTGTATTCGTATAGTTGTAAGCTGAGCCATTGTAGCATTTGGCTTATAAATTGTCAAGGGCAGTTATAGCTCCAAATTTGATCGTATACTAGGTTGTACACTCGCATTCAGTCGGCCTTTTATCTGCATGAACCTAGTACGCACAGTAGTTCCCAGACAATGGGCGTCACCCATGCCGAACTGAGTTCTGGTGTTCTGTTGCCTCTGACGCATTCCTTTAAATGGCAAAGGGAGCCAACGTGTCCGTAGCTTTATTTCGAAGGGCCCTAACATAAACGCGGTCCTGAACCAGTAGGAATGATCCGGTTAAACTAATTGTGTCATTTGGGCGTGGATACGACCCAACGTCCTGCACCTACCGTACGAACCAAACTCATACAGATAAAGAACGAGTCGAAAACTGAGTGCTGTCGAATTTCGTACTACAACTGGATGCAGGCAAACAATTTGAAGGTTCGGCAAACAAGGTGTCACAACTACCCTTGCCATTATACGGGCTAGACGGCAAAAAAATAGCCTCCCGAATATGTAAACATAAACGGGTTATTCGGAAAGGTGATCCGCTGTCTCAAAGGGTCCTTCACACCATGCAGAAAAACCCCGCAGTCGACTTGGTAGGTGCGCGAACAATGGCCAGCCATTAACAGGCTATCACATGTTACTCTCACGCGGCGATGCGGTGCGGCTAAATTTGCAGCCTAGGGCGCCCACGGCCACAGAACTGTCAGGTTGACAGCGTGATTCGAGCCGGGCCACGAACACAGCCGCTCCCACCCCCAGCAACTGCAAAGCTCTGTACTTGTTCTTGTATAGCCTCTGAATATGGGCTCCCATACGGGTCTGAAAGCGGGCTGAAATGCTGTTTAGGTGATCATATGCCATGGCAACATTTTATGACGTGTAGCATTCTTCAGGAAAACTAAACATACTATAAAATCAAATCCCGCAGGCAAATGAGCAGAAAAGGATGCGTACTCCGAACTCTGTTTTGTCCCA